ACTTGCTCAGAGAATCTCACACAGAAGGATGGCAGGGCACAGGTGAGAATTAGCTTTTGGGATTTCAACGCTAGTCTATGTTTAGGTATGGAAAGAGAGACATTCTTCAGACAATACTAATATGATCTAGACATTATACAGATTAGGTTAAAGCTAGGGTACCTAACTTATACCCCTGTAAATCATCCATGCATTGCAAAAAGATATGGAAATTAAGTCAAAAATTGCTCTAATTGGGTGAAATGTCAATTTGAGCACATTCTGAGTGCCTTAAAATGGGACAATGAGAAAAATGACCTTGTTTTTAAAAATATACAAGAAACCTCTCCCTTGGATTGAGAAAATAAAGCAACAGCTCTTGAAATGAGACTAAATGGCTTTGTCTCGTTGGAGAATCTCGTCAAGGAAGAATGAACTCAGATTAAGATAAATTTAAGCAATTTTTGACTATTATTTCCTCACTTTTGCAGTGTACTCCTTCAGTCCATGAGATCCATAAGTGAAATGCATCTACGACATTGAAATTGAATCTTTTTCCAAAAAAAACAATGCAATACTGTCTCTAAAAAGCTCCAGAAATCTTGACTTCTTCCAGACCATTCCTGATACGTCTTTATACTCTTTCTATCCGGGCACAACCCTCTCTTTTCCTCAATATACTTCCAAAATCCCTCCGGTCCCTTCTGTCTGTTTTCTTCTGTTCCTTTGGCTCCGAGGACAGTTGCCCCGACAGCTCATATGTTTCCCATTTCCCCCACGAAACACTTAATATCTCCTCTTCTGCTTGCATCATCTGTATCTCTGTGTAGTTAGCCTCTGACCTGACAATGGCAACAAGATGTGGCTCAAATGGATTAGCATTCGCCATCCAAGGACACAGAACGTGAGCCGAGGTGTTGAGAATGTCTATAGACTGAGCAAACTCTTTGAAACATCTGAAAGGTTAAATGCTTTAGACTTTACACTGCAAAAAGGGATGAACAGTAAGTGAAATATTGCTCAAATTTGGGTGTGTATTAATTTGAGCACATTTTAAAGAAGGGCTGGAATTGGCTTCAATGTCACCATTCGATAGTGTCGTCATATTTGGGCCACAATTCAATGTTATTGCGATTCTTAAAATATTGTGATAAAGCATGTTTTGTGATCCATTTCTGGGATATATTGCGTTTGATAAGACTGCTCAACTCTATTTCAGATTCAGATTCAGTTTATTTGCCATTTGCAGTAAAAAAAAACCCACATTGGAATACAAAAGTGACAAATGACAAAAGTCACCAGTGTGCACAGACAAATACAGACATAAAACAACATTAAAAGTACGGAAATAAAACAAATAAAACAGTAAACAAGTGTCACTGTGAAATCAATCGACTAAAACAGTTTCAAAACAAGTGCAAATCATTAAAGTGCTCTGTTCACACTGATAACAGCTTGTGGATAAAAACTGTTAGCGTAACGAGATGTCCTGCATCTCAGAGAGCGATATCTTCTGCCAGAGGTAAGAAGCTGGAACATGGCTTTTCCAGGGTGGCCAGAAGAGTCATTAACAATCCTAAGAGCTTTGTTTAAAAGTCTGGATTCATAAAGAACCTCCAGAACAGGAAGCTCACAGCCCACGGTCCTCTTTGCAGAGCGGAGCACCTTGTTTAAAGCTCTCTTTTCTTTATCTGTGATGTTTCCAAACCACACAGACACAGAACCAACAAGTAAACTCTCAATGGTGCAGCGATAAAAGTTAAGCAGAATCTTAGAGTTAGTGGTAAATTCTCTAAGTTTACGCAGGAAGTAGAGACGCTGACGAGCTTTCTTATCGACTCGGTCAGTGTTTTTAACCCATTTCAAGTCGTTAGACAGAGTTAAACCCAGAAACTTACATTCCTCTACAATCTGCACCTGGGAGTTGTCGATAACTACAGGAGTGTGAGAACTGTTACGACTGAAGTCAAAGACCAGTTCACATGACACCAGAGCGTTCACTGCGGCGCCCTGACACGCCGCCATCTTGCTAGTCCTTCGTTCATTATATTCTGTACATAAACTGAAGCAAACACTGAGCGTAGAGCAACAACGTGATCCTTGAGCAGGACAGGACATTGTTACAGACGTCATTATTCTCTGATTATTGCACCGCTCCTCGCGGCAGCAGGAGAACACTCCATTGAGTTGAATGTAATTTCAAAACGTTCTACCGATCATTGTTTGTTGTGTAAAATACTAACATTACTCTGACAGTAGTTCACACACTTTGTCACAACGGGCTTTCAGCGCCTGTCACTTATTACTCAAAAAGTTATGACTTCTGTCTGAGAGAAGCTATCCGAGCTAGCCACGCTCAATAACATAAATATTAATCAATAACACATTTAAATGTTAGTCGGAGAATACATTATACATATACATTCTTAACACTCGGAGGTTATCAGAATGATCTGTTAAAGTTTTCATGATAGAACTACTGTTTTAATGCAACAAAAACGTGGTCAAGGTAAACCCGGAAGTAACCATCAACATTAATGAAATATTTTAGGACACATTTGCAGAGGATCTGGGGACGCAATCTCAGGGGAACCAGACCCCGACGCACCTGTGTTCTAGACATTACCCCAGACGACTCTCACATAAAGGTGAGCTCCCAGAACATGAGTACATTATTCACATACTATAGACTAGAATCACAACAATCAGACATCATAGAGTCACATGAACCTCAGGTGGAAGTGACCAGAGAAAACACAGTGAAACAGATAAATATTTAACGGGACAATGAACAAATGATCTTGTTTTAAAAAATACAAAAACGTTTCCCTTTAAATGAGGAAATAAAGCAACAGTTCTTTAAATAAGACTAAATGTCTTTGTCCCATTGGAGAATCATGTTTTAACACAATAAAAACCACTTTATTCAAACATTTATAACCTCATACTGTATCATTTTTTTGCAGTGTATGAGCAGACATTTTGGAAAAACAAAATGCCTGGAGGGTGATCTAATCTGCAATAAAGACAATTGCTTTGAAATGCTTGTAAAACTATCAGTGGGTTTGACCGAGTCCAGTCCCCTCCACAAAGACCCGCAGATGAGTTTGGCTCGGATCCCGTCTCACTGTTCGCTCGCCCTCCCTTCTCCAGATCTGATTTCCTGAAGAATGCATAAGGAGACAAGATGTGCTGGGCATTCACAACTGTCAGTCTGGAGTCTGCTAACGTTGGAACAATGGGGAGACTGTGCGGCTACAAATTGCGAGGGGTTTGGGAATCGAACCTGGTTAGAATTTTGATGGATTCAAGACGATAATTGAGTTTGAGAGAGTTGCAAATCGCAGCTTGGGTTTATGCCAGTCACTTGTGTCGTTGCTGTTGAGCTAAGGCGGAAATTCAGACTGGATCAAGCGCTGTCCATGCAGCAGCGTTCATTTGTGCAGCAACCCTCCTCCTCCCCATCTACGCCTACTCAGCCGGTCCAGCTCTTCTTCCTTCTCCTATTGTTTCCACCACCAGGGTCAAGGCCTCGGGGGATTTAATCTCAGAATCTCTATCTTCATTCCCTCTTCTGTAGTCATCATGCCGTGCTCTGCCGGGGTCTAAACGCCAAATTTTAACCACATTTCTCGTACAGTAACAATAAATATAATCTCGCAAATATTGTCTCCAGAGTCCAACCAATATACAAAAGCTAATAATGCTAATAAAGCCCCTGTTTTGCATTGCCCTTTGAGCCTGAAGGTTGTGGGTTCGAGCCCACCGCGAGACCTTCTCCGCTGACTCCACTGACGTCGGCTGTCGTTGTGTCCTTGGGCAAGACACTTAACCCGCTTTGCCTATTATGCAAATACACATCATGCCTTGATGTGTGTATTGTATTCATGAAACTGAAATTTCTTCTTCTTCAGCTTCAAAATCTATGTCTGAGTTTTTGTTTGTCACAGTCTGGTTGCCGTGTTTCTATAGTTTTGTAGTTTTCATGTTTTTGGAGCGGGGAGACATTTTTAAGCTTTCCTTAACAAAGAGATGATGTTTGTAAAATCTAAGGACACCAAAAATGTTTTAAAAAGTAGTGAGCAGGATGTGGACTATCATCAGCAATGAACAACAAGAAAATGAATTAAAACAGATTGGTTTCTACAAAAAATGACCCAAAACACAAGAAACCACTCGCTCTATATAGGATTACATTTGTTTTCTTCTTCCTACTCCCTTTCAGGCAACTATTTTGGTATATTTATTTTATTTTTTACCCTCTTATGCATGTTAGCAATACTTTTGTTGGAAAGTGACTTGTGCCGGATGTGAAATGCCTGAAATGAATAAATAAACAAACAATAATTGCATGATTCGAGTGGTTTGCTGGAGTCGTTAGGTATATTACAATTTCTCCAAGTTTCCTGAATCAAAGGGAAACTGGTCGGTTCATTGATCAGTATAAAACATGTCTCTGGCTCTGACTCTCTCTCTCTCTCTGGGTCTAAAGCTGTGATCCATCCCATCTGTGGCACATCTCACGGACAATTACAGCAAAATCCTTTGGCTCGGACCAAAGCGGGAGGAGCTGATGTTAGCAGACCACCTCCTCCTCCTACACCACCCCCACCACCTCCTCCACCACCTCAACCACTACCACTTCCTCCTCTACCACCACCACCTCCTCCTACGCAACCACCTCTTCCTCCTACACCACCACCACCACCACCTCCTCCACCACCCCCTCCTCCTCCTTCACTACCACAACCTCCTCCACCTCCACCAACATCTTATCCCCCACCTCCTCCTCCTCCACTACCACTACCACCACCACTTCCTCCTCAACCACCCACCACCCCCTCCACCACCATTTTATCCCCCACCTCCCACCACCATCTACTCCACCCACCACCTCCTCTTTCTGCAGTCAGACCTCCGCCTCTGGCTCAAAGGCCTCGGAGCTGCCTCAGAGAGAGACGGCTGAAGAAAAACATGGCAATTATCGGTGGAGGTCTCGGGGCAGGTTTCGCGTTGCACAGATGCACAAAGGCAAAGGTTTGAACTGACAAGAGAAGGTCAGTGTTGGGTTTAGCCTCTGGTGCTAACGACAACGATTGGATCTGAGTGAGAGAAGGTGGAGGTGGCTTCTCTGTAGGTGGAGACCACGGGGAAGAGATTGGAGACTTTTGGATAAACATGTGGAAGAAGTAAAAACCATGTCCCTCGTCTCCTTGTTTCTCAATTACAGGTTTGTCTGAATAAGTTTGGTGAAAATCCTGTCATGATAATTGTAAGTCACAGAAGTTATTTGTTCTTATAATTTACTTCAGAAAAATAACTCACAATGTGCATTTTTTCTTGAAATGTCCAGGGCTAGTTTGAAGCGTTGCCTCTTTCCAAGGTAAAAACCATAGACTGTAAAAATAAATGGAAGTAGTCACGCCTATCTCCGCCGTTCTAACTAATGGGCCAAAAATAGTCCTCTACTGGAGCTATCCAAAATGGCCGTGAGTGGTCCCGCCCACAAGATAATTGTGAAAAAACGCATCTTGCGCAAGCTCCATTCATTTGAACAAGAGACTTCAAAAATGCACAGCGAGTAAACTAGAGTGGTCCAAAACACCCCCCTCAGCATTGACACACATGTGGAACGGAGCTTTGGGCCAAGAGCCAACTTTTGGACCATCCTGTAAAGGTGTTTTCGAGAGGTCAGCTAATGCTATATGTTAGCATTGGCTAACTCTTATTCCGGGTCCACACCCATCGGCCCGGGGTGGTATTGCAGCATGTCAGCGCGCATCATTTTGGCCCCAACTGGTAAAAACGTAGAAAAAAACGTTGAAATCGTCTCAACACTGCAAAAAGTGCAAAAATGTCTCAAATTTGCAAAATGTATCATAATTGGAGCACATTTTGACTGAGCCTTAAAACAAGATTTGCCAATGAGATAATGAGCAAAATTATCCACACAAACAGATACACAAACATACAAATACATTAACACCTACATATTTCCATGACAGTACTTGTTTTGCCACCTCCTCCTACACAACCACCATCACCACCTCCTCCTACACCACCACCTCCTCCACCACCCCAGCGCCTCCTCCTGATCCCTGACTCGCTCATATACGTCCAGTTTGTGCTTTCTCCGTCTTCCACGTCCACTTTCTGCGCCTGAGTTTGTTTGTCTTCCTAAAGCCTCGCTGGCGTCTCCCGGAGTCAGAGCCATGAAATCCAAACGGCCTCTGCTTTCTTCCCCATAATGCATTTCATAAACAGGAAATCTAATCACAGAGCAGGGCATGGCAGAGACCCACATTCTACACAGACTTCCACGGTACAGGGAGGATAAAGCAAGAAGCATGTAGGACGATGAGGACCAATGAGGACCAATGAGAACCAATGAGGACCAATGAGAACCAATGAGGACCAATGAGAACCAATGAGAACCAATGAGGACCAATGAGAACCAATGAGGACCAATGAGAACCAATGAGGACCAATGAGGACCAATGAGAACCAATGAGGACCAATGAGGACCAATGAGAACCAATGAGGACCAATGAGAACCAATGAGGACCAATGAGAACCAATGAGGACCAATGAGGACCAATGAGAACCAATGAGGACCAATGAGGACCAATGAGAACCAATGAGGACCAATGAGAACCAATGAGGACCAATGAGAACCAATGAGGACCAATGAGAACCAATGAGGACCAATGAGAACCAATGAGGACCAATGAGAACCAATGAGGACCAATGAGGACCAATGAGAACCAATGAGGACCAATGAGAACCAATGAGGACCAATGAGAACCAATGAGGACCAATGAGAACCAATGAGGACCAATGAGAACCAATGAGGACCAATGAGAACCAATGAGGACCAATGAGGACCAATGAGAACCAATGAGGACCAATGAGAACCAATGAGGACCAATGAGAACCAATGAGGACCAATGAGAATCAATGAGGACCAATGAGATTCAATGAGGACCAATGAGAACCAATGAGGACCAATGAGAACCAATGAGGACCAATGAGAATCATTGAGGACCAATGAGAATCAATGAGGACCAATGAGAACCAATGAGAACCAATGAGGACCAATGAGACCAAGAATTATTTGCAAACGCACAGACTGGAGCATTCTTTGTGGGTGAGGTCTGCATCAGTGAAACAGATGCATTTAATATAAGTCCATTCCCAGACCATGTGCCTTTCCCAGACCATGTGCCTTTCCCAGACCATGTGCCTTTCCCAGACCATGTGCCTTTCCCAGACCATGTGCCTTTCCCAGACCATGTGCCTTTCCCAGACCATGTGCCTTTCCCAGACCATGTGCCTTTCCCAGACCATGTGCCTTTCCCAGACCATGTGCCTTTCCCAGACCATGTGCCTTTCCCAGACCATGTGCCTTTCCCAGACCATGTGCCTTTCCCAGACCATGTGCCTTTCCCAGACCATGTGCCTTTCCCAGACCATGTGCCTTTCCCAGACCATGTGCCTTTCCCAGACCATGTGCCTCTCCCAGACCATGTGCCTCTCCCAGACCATGTGCCTCTCCCAGACCATGTGCCTTTCCCAGACCATGTGCCTTTCCCAGACCATGTGCCTTTCCCAGACCATGTGCCTTTCCCAGACCATGTGCCTCTCCCAGACCATGTGCCTTTCCCAGACCATGTGACTCTCCCAGACCATGTGCCTTTCCCAGACCATGTGCCTTTCCCAGACCATGTGCCTTTCCCAGACCATGTGCCTCTCCCAGACCATGTGCCTCTCCCAGACCATGTGCCTCTCCCAGACCATGTGCCTTTCCCGGACCATGTGCCTTTCCCAGACCATGTGCCTTTCCCAGACCATGTGCCTCTCCCAGACCATGTGCCTTTCCCAGACCATGTGACTCTCCCAGACCATGTGCCTTTCCCAGACCATGTGCCTTTCCCAGACCATGTGCCTTTCCCAGACCATGTGCCTTTCCCAGACCATGTGCCTTTCCCAGACCATGTGCCTTTCCCAGACCATGTGCCTTTCCCAGACCATGTGCCTTTCCCAGACCATGTGCCTTTCCCAGACCATGTGCCTTTCCCAGACCATGTGCCTTTCCCAGACCATGTGCCTCTCCCAGACCATGTGCCTCTCCCAGACCATGTGCCTCTCCCAGACCATGTGCCTTTCCCAGACCATGTGCCTTTCCCAGACCATGTGCCTTTCCCAGACCATGTGCCTTTCCCAGACCATGTGCCTCTCCCAGACCATGTGCCTTTCCCAGACCATGTGACTCTCCCAGACCATGTGCCTTTCCCAGACCATGTGCCTTTCCCAGACCATGTGCCTTTCCCAGACCATGTGCCTCTCCCAGACCATGTGCCTCTCCCAGACCATGTGCCTCTCCCAGACCATGTGCCTTTCCCGGACCATGTGCCTTTCCCAGACCATGTGCCTTTCCCAGACCATGTGCCTTTCCCAGACCATGTGCCTCTCCCAGACCATGTGCCTTTCCCAGACCATGTGACTCTCCCAGACCATGTGCCTTTCCCAGACCATGTGCCTTTCCCAGACCATGTGCCTTTCCCAGACCATGTGCCTTTCCCAGACCATGTGCCTTTCCCAGACCATGTGCCTTTCCCAGACCATGTGCCTTTCCCAGACCATGTGCCTTTCCCAGACCATGTGCCTCTCCCAGACCATGTGCCTTTCCCAGACCATGTGACTCTCCCGGACCATGTGCCTTTCCCGGACCATGTGCCTTTCCCAGACCATGTGCCTTTCCCAGACCATGTGCCTTTCCCAGACCATGTGCCTCTCCCAGACCATGTGCCTTTCCCAGACCATGTGACTCTCCCAGACCATGTGCCTTTCCCAGACCATGTGCCTTTCCCAGACCATGTGCCTTTCCCAGACCATGTGCCTTTCCCAGACCATGTGCCTTTCCCAGACCATGTGCCTTTCCCAGACCATGTGCCTTTCCCAGACCATGTGCCTCTCCCAGACCATGTGCCTCTCCCAGACCATGTGCCTTTCCCAGACCATGTGACTCTCCCGGACCATGTGCCTTTCCCGGACCATGTGCCTTTCCCAGACCATGTGCCTTTCCCAGACCATGTGCCTTTCCCAGACCATGTGCCTCTCCCAGACCATGTGCCTTTCCCGACCATGTGACTCTCCCAGACCATGTGCCTTTCCCAGACCATGTGCCTTTCCCAGACCATGTGCCTTTCCCAGACCATGTGCCTTTCCCAGACCATGTGCCTCTCCCAGACCATGTGCCTCTCCCAGACCATGTGCCTCTCCCAGACCATGTGCCTTTCCCAGACCATGTGCCTTTCCCAGACCATGTGCCTTTCCCAGACCATGTGCCTTTCCCAGACCATGTGCCTTTCCCAGACCATGTGCCTTTCCCAGACCATGTGCCTTTCCCAGACCATGTGCCTTTCCCAGACCATGTGCCTTTCCCAGACCATGTGCCTTTCCCAGACCATGTGCCTTTCCCAGACCATGTGCCTTTCCCGGACCATGTGCCTTTCCCGGACCATGTGCCTTTCCGGGACCATGTGCCTTTCCCGGACCATGTGCCTTTCCCGGACCATGTGCCTTTCCGGGACCATGTGCCTTTCCCAGACCATGTGCCTCTCCCAGACCATGTGCCTCTCCCAGACCATGTGCCTTTCCCAGACCATGTGACTCTCCCGGACCATGTGCCTTTCCCAGACCATGTGCCTCTCCCAGACCATGTGCCTCTTCCAGACCATGTGCCTTTCCCAGACCATGTGACTCTCCCGGACCATGTGCCTTTCCCGGACCATGTGCCTCTCCCAGACCATGTGCCTTTCCCAGACCATGTGCCTTTCCCAGACCATGTGCCTCTCCCAGACCATGTGCCATTCCCAGACCATGTGCCTCTCCCAGACCATGTGCCATTCCCAGACCATGTGCCTCTCCCAGACCATGTGCCTCTCCCAGACCATGTGCCTCTCCCAGACCATGTGCCTCTCCCAGACCATGTGCCTTTCCCGGACCATGTGCCTTTCCCGGACCATGTGCCTTTCCCGGACCATGTGCCTTTCCCGGACCATGTGCCTTTCCCGGACCATGTGCCTTTCCCAGACCATGTGCCTCTCCCAGACCATGTGCCTCTCCCAGACCATGTGCCTCTCCCAGACCATGTGCCTCTCCCAGACCATGTGCCTTTCCCAGACCATGTGCCTCTCCCAGACCATGTGCCTCTCCCAGACCATGTGCCTCTCCCAGACCATGTGCCTCTCCCAGACCATGTGCCTCTCCCAGACCATGTGCCTTTCCCAGACCATGTGCCTCTCCCAGACCATGTGCCTTTCCCAGACCATGTGCCTTTCCCAGACCATGTGCCTTTCCCAGACCATGTGCCTTTCCCAGACCATGTGCCTTTCCCAGACCATGTGCCTTTCCCAGACCATGTGCCTTTCCCAGACCATGTGCCTCTCCCAGACCATGTGACTCTCCCGGACCATGTGCCTTTCCCAGACCATGTGCCTTTCCCAGACCATGTGCCTCTCCCAGACCATGTGCCTTTCCCGGACCATGTGCCTCTCCCAGACCATGTGACTCTCCCAGACCATGTGCCTCTCCCAGACCATGTGCCTTCCCAGACCATGTGCCTTTCCCAGACCATGTGCCTTTCCCAGACCATGTGCCTTTCCCAGACCATGTGCCTCTCCCAGACCATGTGCCTCTCCCAGACCATGTGCCTCTCCCAGACCATGTGCCTCTCCCAGACCATGTGCCTTTCCCAGACCATGTGCCTTTCCCAGACCATGTGCCTTTCCCAGACCATGTGCCTCTCCCAGACCATGTGCCTCTCCCAGACCATGTGCCTTCTCCCGGACCATGTGCCTTTCCCAGACCATGTGACTCTCCCGGACCATGTGCCTTTCCCAGACCATGTGCCTTTCCCAGACCATGTGACTCTCCCGGACCATGTGCCTTTCCCAGACCATGTGCCTTTCCCAGACCATGTGCCTTTCCCAGACCATGTGCCTTTCCCGGACCATGTGCCTTTCCCAGACCATGTGCCTTTCCCAGACCATGTGCCTTTCCCAGACCATGTGACTCTCCCGGACCATGTGCCTTTCCCAGACCATGTGCCTTTCCCAGACCATGTGCCTTTCCCAGACCATGTGCCTCTCCCAGACCATGTGCCTCTCCCGGACCATGTGCCTTTCCCAGACCATGTGGCTTTCCCAGACCATGTGGCTTTCCCGGACCATGTGGCTTTCCCAGACCATGTGCCTCTCCCAGACCATGTGCCTTCCCAGACCATGTGCCTTCCCAGGTCAGAGACATGCAGTGGTGACTCCTCTGGCCTTGGAAATCTGAGGTGTACAAAGAATACACAGTAACAACGAGGAGGGAGTGTGAGCAGATGTAAGTTGTGTGTCTGCTGTGTGCGGTCTGAAAGGTTGTAGGTTTTAATTAGTCAGAAATGTTGTTATCATTGAGTTTTTCAGTGAATCAAACCCAGGTCTTTCCTTTGGGATCAAAAGATGTTTAAATGATCAAAAAAGTATATTTTTCTGAATATTTCTGTTTTAATTTAAGTGAGAGGTTTAGCTGCATCTCTCTCTCACACACACAAATACATCTCGCTCTCTCTCACACATCTCGCTCTCACACACACACACACACCTCCCTCTCACACACATAGTCACACACCTCTCTCTCTCTCACACACACATACATCTCGCTCTCTCTGACGCACCTCGCTCACACACACACACACACACACACACACACACACACACACACACACACACACACACACACACACACACACACACACACACACACACACACACACACACACACACACACACACACACACACACACACACACACACACACACACACACACACACACACACACTCACACACACACACACATCTCTCTCTCTCTCTCTCACACACACACATCTCTCTCTCTCTCTCACACACACACACACGCACTCACATATGGGGTGCCGATTGTAAAAATTCTGTTAAAATTTTTTAGCTGAACATTTTTCTACATTTAGCTCACTTTCCTCACATTTAGCACATTTTCCTCACATTTAAGACATCTAAATATTATATCTATCTAAATGTTAAATGTTATATCTAAATATTATATCTATATCTAAATGTTATATCTATATCTAAATGTTAAATCTAAATGTTAAATCTAAATGTTAAATCTAAATGTTAAATCTAAATGTTATATCTATATCTAAATGTTATATCTATATCTAAATATTATATCTATATCTAAATGTTAAATGTTATATCTAAATATTATATCTATATCTAAATGTTATATCTATATCTAAATGTTATATCTATATCTAAATGTTAAATCTAAATGTTAAATCTAAATGTTAAATCTAAATGTTAAATCTAAATGTGTCGCCAAGTGTAAAGCTAAATATATAGAAACCACGCCCACTGCAGTGGCTTCAAATCCAGTGGGCCCGCCTTCCGTGCCGTGTGGTGAGTGGGGGCGGTGCCGCGTGTTTTGAACATAGGAATACACGTGGACCGACGTCACGGCTCAAGGCATGTTGGGTCTCCGGCGCCATCGTCCTTGGCCACGGCACAAAATTAGCATTTTTGTGAAGATTCTTGCTTATTTGCTGGAGCCAGAGTGTATTCACTGTAAACTAAGCCACGTGGAGTCCCGTGAGATTCCTGTGTAATCCTGTAGGGTTCTCACCACACGGCACGGAAGGCGGGCCCACTGGATTTGAAGCCACTGCAGTGGGCGTGGTTTCTATATATTTAGCTTTACACTTGGCGACACATTTAGATTTAACATTTAGATTTAACATTGAGATTTAACATTTAGATTTAACATTTAGATTTAACATTTAGATTTAACATTTAGATATAGATATAACATTTAGATATAGATATAATATTTAGATATAACATTTAACATTTAGATATAGATATAATATTTAGATATAGATATAACATTTAGATATAGATATAACATTTAGATATAGATATAACATTTAGATTTAACATTTAGATTTAACATTTAGATTTAACATTTAGATTTAACATTTAGATATAGATATAACATTTAGATATAGATATAACATTTAGATTTAACATTTAGATTTAACATTTAGATTTAACATTTAGATTTAACATTTAGATATAGATATAACATTTAGATATAGATATAATATTTAGATATAACATTTAACATTTAGATATAGATATAATATTTAGATATAGATATGTCTTAAATGTGAGGAAAATGTGCTAAATGTGAGGAAAGTGAGCTAAATGTAGAAAAATGTTCAGCTAAAAAATTTTAACAGAATTTTTACAATCGGCACCCCATACTCACAAAGCTCTTTTTGATGAGGAACAATGTAACATATTTAAAAGCTCAAAAAAGTACATTTTGCAGGTTGTGTAAGAGATTCAGACCAGAGTGAGAGGAAACTGAAGAGTCAAGGTCAACCTTAAACCACCATTTTGGATCAAAGCGGATTCTCTCTTTTCAGAAAAATAGCCTCTTTCTCACCTCTTCAAACCTGTCCGTCTCCAAACTTAAAAGCCAGAGCTGTTTGGCTTTTTATGTGAAGGAAAACTGCCAACTGCTATATTGATATAGAAGCATTTACCGCTAGCTAAGAAACATGGCAGCTACGCTAACGTTAGCTCCAGGACCTCCCCCATGCAGACGACCACATACATATATAAAATCCTGTATATACTACTGCAAGAAATCTTGGTTGTATGTTTACATCTGCACATGTTAGCTAGCCTTAGGGACAAAGTGGGGACTCAAAAGTGACATTGGACTCAATGGGCATTTTTTAAAATTATTGCACAGATGCACGACATGTGAGGTCAGGTCCAAATTACAACACGTCTACATGTTAAGTGTAACACAATACCAAGCTAACACGGTCATACATTTATACATACAGTGTGTTATAACCAAGCTAACAAAGTCACACATTTATACATACAGTATCTTATAACTAAGCTAACACATACATTTATACATGCAGTGTGTCATAACTAAGCTAACACGGTAATAAATTTATATATATACAGTGTGTCATAACTAGGTATTAGTATTAGATAGCAATATGGCCTACGTGCAGGACTGTACAAGGACTCTACAAGGACTCCATGTTATGACTATGATGTGACTGTCTCTTTGTGACACGTATGTCTTTCGATGTGTGACGTGACAATGACTATATAAACTGTGTACTGCCTTTATTCTGTCTGAGGAAAAGAAACAGAGGAAACCAGTGGAACTTGAGAGCAACTTAAATAAACTTCCAGAGTTTGGCACACCACGATCCGTCTCTGTCTGCTAAATCCTAACAGATTTGGTGGAGAATGCGCGGCTCGGTTTGTGCCATTCTCTGGATTGTTTTGAGGGACTTTCCTCTGTTTCTTTTTTTCGGCGTGTGGGAGCAACAGCACGTTATCTGGAAGGGGAGAAATCCCAGCGGACGCTGAAAGGGCTCGCTTTTGGATGGGCTTGCTCTTGCTCCCTCACTTTCTCTGTTTTGTTTTTTAAATTGAATATTCCGACGCGGAAAAGAGGTTGGCAGACCTCTCGGACAGTCCTTGGAACCGGTTTGACAAGAATAAGGTAAGCAGACACCTTTTTTAATATGTAAAGTCTGCATAATTGGATATTAGCTAAATTTTGGTCTGTTTTTTGGGGTCTGTCAAACTCTCTAAATTGTATTTTGAAGAAGTCTCGGGGTTAAAGTCCCTTTGAGCCTCGGGGTTAAAGTCCCTTTGAGAAAGTCTCGGGGTTAAAGTCCCTTTGAGCCTCGGGGTTAAAGTCCCTTTGAGAAAAGTCTCGGGGTTAAAGTCCCTTTGAGAAGAAGCTTCAGGGTTAAAGTCCCTTTGAGAGAAACCATGGTGTAAACAGAAAAGCAATTTATAAAAAGGGAAACGTGTTAAGGAGGCCTTTGTTACAAAAGCTTTGAAATTGACGAATTTCAAGCTGATAAATGACAAAAGTACATAAGCAACAATATTTCAGTGATCACGGTTTAAATTACATACAGAAAAAGGGAGTTTTTGTTTTTGGAGTGAACAGAGTTCACCGGAGAATGCAGAGTTTTATCTAAAGTTGAGCTATGAGAGCTTTCGTGAGTTATTTACATTTTTTGCCGAGTTTTATCTACAGTTGAGCTATGAGAGGGCTGTATCCAACAGTTGTTTTTGTTTTTTAGAAAGAGATTTTGAGTTTAAATTAGTTTGCTACCTCGATAAAATAGAAGCGTAAACGTTAAAGACAAGAGTGCCTTTTGTTACTAGTGTGGAAAGTGATCAATTCTAGACTTCGATGACAAAAGTATAAAGAACAACATAAGTTATATTCGCTTAAAAAAGTAATCTTGAAAGTTCTACTTCTGTATCTTTTTGCCTGTGTGTGCACATCTCTATCTGCTGCCGTTGTCAGGGAAACGGCCCCCTCCTTCGCTGCTCTGGCTGTGAATCTGAAGCAAAGCTACTGCTTTAGGACTTTTGGCTTTTCATAGTTGTTATTCCGTTAAATTTGCTAAATTTGCCATTTGAACATTGTGTTAGACACAGTTAAACGTTTTTAAACACCATTAGGGAATAGAAGTTTTGAATTAGTATGTTTTTGAAACCCAAAGATTAGTACAAAAAGCTTTGATTTTCTTTTTAAATCTGCTGCTTATTTTGTGAGTCCATTATTGTATCTGATATTTCATAGCTGTTAGTGAGAATTTTTTTATGTTTTTATTTTAGTTACAAAAGCCGTTTTTCAAACATTTAAATTAGAATCTGTTAAAAGTGATTAATGATTGTAGACTTCGTCTAAAAAAGAAAGAGGGAATTAGGCTGTAAAGTATTATATTATTAAGTTAAACTACCCAATTCACCCAATTCACATTCAAGTGGTGACTTTTGTTTTTGTTTTGACTATGCACCTGACCTTGCTCCTGCTGCTGATGCACGCAGCACAGGAGCCTGGTCTAAAATGTGCTCCAATTCATACTGACTTCATTTGAAAAATGTTGCAATTATTTTAAATTAGTAAAATATATGCTGAGATAAATGCACAGATAATTAAACACACAGTACAAAAGTACATAATACATATTTTAAAGTTTAAGAAGGTTTAAGAGATTTGAGTCTTGTTTTTTATATTGAGAGTTTCTGGTTTTAAAATGTCATCATTAGTAAGATAATAAGTAATCTTTATTTACATAGCGCTTGGGAAAGCCAAGAGCGCTCAAATTGTTTTGACTTCAGAGAGAAAAACAATCTCATTCACAATCTCTGTTGTTTTTAATTTGACTATAAGGTTGTTTTCCAGAACCAAGAGCACACACTGTACAGGGTC